GAATACTTTGAAAACACATCAGATCTCAAAGGGAAAAAATATTATGCTGGATATCTATACTGATATGGACTGGGTAATGTGTTAGAAATACAAGGATGCCCCATCGTTTGATGGAAATGAAATTGATCACCCTACAGAGGACTGAATTCAAAGACACTCTGAAAATCAAAGTGAGAAAATGATGCAGCAGGCTAGTCCATTTTGCTGAAATTTAATTGCAGCAACTCAAAATGGTACTCAGTATTTTGTATGGCCCCCCACGTGTTTGTATGCATGTCTGACAATGTTGGGGCATGCTCCTAATGAGACGAAAGATGGTGTCCTGGGGTATTTCCTCCCAGATCTGGACCAGGGCATCACTGAGCTCCTGGACAGTCTGAGATGCAACATGGATATCCCAGAGGTGTTCTATTGGATTTAGGTCAGGTAGTCAGGGTGCCATTGTCTAGCCTGTAGAGGTCTGTGCGTCCCTCCATGGATATGCCTCCCCAGACCATCACTGACCCACCATCAAAACGGTCATGCTGAACGATGTTACAGGCAGCATAACATTCTCCACAGCTTCTCCAGACCCTTTAACGTCTGTCACATGTGCTCAGGGTGAACCTGCTCTCATCTGTGAAAAGCACAGGGTGCTAGTGGCGGACCTGCCAATCATGGTGTTGACAAATATCAATCACGCTCTATGGTGCCGGGCAGTGAGCACAGGGCCCACTAGAGGACATCGGGCCCTCTGGCCACCCTCATGAAGTCTATTTGATTGTTTGGTCAGACATTTACACCAGTGGCCTGCTGGAGGTAATTTCGTTGCTCATCCTGTTCTTCCTTGCACAAAGGAGCAGATACCTGTTTTGCTGATGGGTTAAGGACCTTCTACGGCCCTGTCTAGCTCTCCTAGCGTAACTGCCTGTCTCCTGGAATCTCCTCCATGCTCTTGAGACTGTGCTGGGAGACACAGCAAAACTTCTGGCAATGGCACGTACTGATGTGCCATCCTAGAGGAGTTGTTCTGCCTGTGCAACCTCTGTAGGGTCCAGGTATCGCCTCATGCTACCAGGAGTGACACTGACCCTAGTCAAATGAAAGACTAGTGAAAAACAGTCAAAAAAGATGAGTAGGGAAAAAAATTTTCAGCAACCTCCACCTATAAATCCATTTCTGTTTTGGGGGTCGCCTCATTGTTGCCCTTGTTGTTAATTTCATGAACACCAAAGCACCTGAAACTGATAACCAATCCCATCTGCTACTTAACTGACCAGATCAATATCCCAGGAGTTGGGATATTGATCTGCAGCAGCTACATTCTGATTAGAAAGTGTTAATTTTTTTGAGCAGTGTATAAATCCTTCACAAGCAAGCCTGCTCTATTATAACGAAGACTCAGTTCTGAATACATTTCTTTAAAAGGATAAGTTCCCCTTTTAACAAAAAAATGCACATTTTTTTACCTGCAGAAAATATACATTTATTATTTTTTGTTGCAGGAGCCTCTAAAGCATTGCACCAATGATCAGATTGCTGGTGCTATGCAGGTCTCCTGCAAACCGGTCAGTGTATCTGTGTGCCTGTTCATTGTACAGGCAAGCAGATACTGACAGGAAGACTCAATGAACTACTACAGTGCTCCACAGCGATGTGGTAGTTCATTAAGAACTACAAGCTGACAGCAGCAAAGGCTGTCAGAACTTGTGATTTAGTCATTCATTCACCATATACTGTGAATGAGTGAAGAGGCTGAGCGGGCGGAGCTCCGTGCAGCTGCGTTTTTAAAAAAAAAAAATTGTGAAAGCTAGCAGGGGGAGAAGATCCCCCGCTAACTGTCACAACGGGGGATCGGGGGTGTGGAGACCGGTCCTTAACCTTAACATGTTACACCCTGAATATGGGTGTAACATGTTACGAAAGGTGAACTTATCCTTTAAAATGCACGTGTTAAAATGCAGTTGTTAGATTTCACATCATTTCCCAATAGCATCTATGAAAAACTTGTGCATGTATTTTTTTTTTAATTTTTTTTTTATTTAGAGCCAACTGATGACCCTTCTGTCATTGTACCAATACTTGGATAAACTGCATGCTGGCTTCAATTTGGCTGTACTGTACAGTTACATCCACAGTAAGGAGTTGCATTTTTTATTTTTTTATGGGACATGTAAGAACTTCAATAAAAGAAAGCAATCTGTTTTCTGACAGGTATATAGCTATAGACATATAATGAATGTGCGAGTGGCCTACATAAAACGCATGCAGGAATTAAAAAAATTCTGGTTATTGCTGTAAAGAAAAGTGATGTTATTTGTGCATTATGTCAAAATTTGACTGTGAATGTTGATATGTACATCAGCTGAAAAAAAAATAAATGCACATCTTTTTGCAGGTAAAAGAATGTGCATTAATTTTTTTTCTTTTTTTATTAGGAGCCTGCAAAGCATTGCACTCGTGATCAGCAGAACATGTGTGCAATCTCAGGCTCCTGTAGACTGTCAGTGTGCTGTTTGCTTGTACCTTGTATGGGCAGGCAGTTACTGAATGACAAGAAGCATCAACGAACTATCTAGAGCGGGTGTCGGCAACCCGCGGCTCCAGAGCCGCATGCGGCTCTTTATCACCTTGGCTGCGGCTCCGGAACACACTGCCCACCAGGTGACAGGCAATAGGGCAGCAATGGGCAAACTACGGCCCGGCGGACCTTTTAATCCGGCCCGCGGAGCTAGGCTCCCGCTAGGCTCCTCTCACAGTCCGCCCTGAAGACCGGTGTAGCATGAAAATCTGTCTCCTATGAGGATCTGTCCCCCTCGACGTATCTGCGCATGTGCCGGAGATCGCCGATCGGCTGCTAATGCCTGAAAATGGCACATGCGCAGATACGTCGAGGGGGACAGATCCTCATAGGAGACAGATTTTCATGCTACAACGGAACGGCGCGGGAACACGGCGAGAGGAACGCTCGGAGCAAAGGTAAGTGAATTGACACAGGGGGGACTTGGGGACTTAATATGGGGGATGAATTAATATGGGGGATGAATTACTATAGGGGGGATGAATTACTATATGGGGGATGAATTACTAGTTTTAAAAATGTGGCTCTCAAAATAAATTTCAATCGTGGTTTTGGCGAGATTTGGCTCAGTTGAAAAAAAAGGTTGCCCACCACTGCCCTAAGGCTATGATTGTGATTATGACGATACACTGTGGCCCTGATTAACCCTTTGCTTACTGGGCCCTTAAACCACTTTCATGACCAGAGCGCTTTTTGCAATATATGCAGTGTCGGATTTGTTTTAAATGTTGCAATGGTTTTGCGGCTCCCAGTCTTTTTTTCCCTCTCGGAAACGGGTCCAAGTGGCTCTTTATGTCTTAAAGGTTGCAGACCCCTGATCTAGAGTAGTGTTGGGCTTGATGTTCGAGTCGAACATAAGTAAGGGCATCATCATTGACATTGGATCTACTTAAGGGGACATTTTTTTTTTTTTTTTTTTATAAAAAACTTGTCAAGGACAGTTTACTGTAATTTTTTTACACTACACTTTTTTTTGTGAATAGAGTAGCGGTACCATGTACCCCATACCCATTCACATGGGGGTCGGATCTGGTGGCCCCCTTGTTAGAGGTGATTCTGATAAGCCCCCCAACCGCAGCCCCCACAACCACCGGCCACAGTTGTGGGGAAGACGCCCTGTGTCCACAAGGTGGACAAGGTGCTTTGGGGCCCGCAGCACCCCCACCCATGTTGAGGGCATGTGACCTGGTATGGTTCGGGGGATGGGGGAATCACTCGTCACCTCCCTCTCCTGACCTGCCGGGCTGCATGCCGGGACACCCAGCTGACAGCTGAAACATTAAAGAAAGTTTTCACTACTAAAATACCGTATGACTTAACAAATTAACTCATGCAGTACATCAGTAGTTTTTTTTTTTAAAAATGCTGTGCGGTATCTTACCGCTTACTCGGATGCGGCAAGATACCACTTAGTGAACTGTCTTGGTTTGAAGTTCGCAGTCGCACTTTTGTTAGGTTCGAATGTTTGACTGCTAACTGAACAGGAGGGTGTTCAGCCCATCACTAACCTAGAGCGTACGTCAGCACCCTGGTAGTTCATTAATTTAAATCTTCGCATTGCGGTAACGAGCAGTAAAATACATGTTACACCACATTATTGCAAAGAACAGTAACGTGAACTAGTGTGATGTGGTGCTGCAAGGTGAAATTAGAGAGCACTTTCAGCAACTGCAAAATTCCACCGCAAAATTAAGTTCGCTGTAATTCACAATTCTACCACTTAAGATTTTGACTACTTTTATGTAGTTAGAAAAAGGGTGTATTTTTATTACCCTCCAATTTGGTGGGATTTATGTTAATGATAAGCAGCCATATTAGCAGGACGACTTTCAGTCTTTACACATCGATCCAGCTATTTGAGGTTTTACAATGCCTGTCATAAGCTGTAATGTGTTTTTGGATAACCGTTTTGTGTTGGTTCCTTGTGTTTTGTATTTTTCTTGTCTGTATGCAAAATAACCAATAAAAACTTATGAGAGGCCAATTCAAGCTCAACTTTCATGGAAAACATTGAAATTTTCAATGATTGCAGCTGCCTTTATATCTGGATCTACTGAACAATTTGATATGCAGTGTTCACGTAAAGTAACCTTTGATTATTCACGTTTTACCTTTATATGTTACCCCTTGGCGCCGGCTGCCTCCCGGTGTTTTAAAAGTCCTGAGGCGGAGGGGGGTTACGACCCACAAAACCACTGTGATTGGCTATCCCAGCGGTCACGTGATCGGAAAGGTCCTGATCACAAGTATGCATCGGGAGCTTACCGATTACCACCGGCTGTTAAGCGCAGTATGCGTACTGCCGGTGTCAACAAATTAAGCTTGAATTGATCACATTTGCAACATGTTTGTTTTAACAATAGACATACACCAAAGCTATAAAAACAAGCAAAGGTGACATTCTTGTGTGCAGATCTATACATATGGATATATATCCTACCTTGGCAGGTAAACTTCCACTTTCTGTTTTTTCACAGAATTAGCCCATTCATCAATAAGAGAGGCTTTGACTAACGGTTCAAGTGTTGCCAGAGGAACCTCTTGTCTGGACAGCAGGAGCATAAGACTAAGTTCATCTCCTTCATACGGCATCTCCAGCACTTGGTAAACTCCACCAGCCTCATTTGATCCATCCGTAAACTCTCCTGCAAATAGGAGAGAAACATAGGAGAATAGCTAAAGGAGATGGCAAAATGGCAAAGAAAGCCTGGCCCTAGAACATATTTTAGTTACAAACATACCACACTATTATTTAGTCTACCAATATTGATATAAAGTGTAACCCTCTGTAACTTTCACAGTCTTTCCAAATCTCAACCAGTTTTCTTTCTCAGATTACATTCTTAGGGAACATTTTATGGCATGGACTACCGCTCCTCTCTGTTTGACAGGCAGCGAGGAGACGATAAGTAACTTCCTCACTGCTTGATTTGCCAACTATCCCAATGCAACTGTGCAGAAATGTAGCCAGGGACAATGAGGCAGAAGTGTAGACAGATAGCAGGTCGAGGTCAGTATCAGGGAAGCAGGCAGAGCAAGGTCCAGCAGCAGACTGGCCCCATATAACTGCATAAGTCGCATTTACAGAGGCATCGCCCGCTGAAAGCAAAATGCTGCTTTAGTTTTGGTGCAGCCGTGAAGCTCAAGTGGGCAGTAAAACCATGGCTCAACCTACTGTTTTTAGGCTGCATATGTGAATGCAACCTAACTCCTACATGAGCTCCTGGTAAAGTTATTTGAGAACCATTACCTGAATTATTAGAAGAAAAAAAAAAAAAGGATAGTAAAAAGAGAATTAAAAGGAGAAAAGTTTCAATGAGGTTGTTAAAGAATTAATTCTCATGCAGCTAATGCTCATTCCCATTCAGCAAATGTTCGTGGACATGTACCCACACACAGACAAGCTTTGGCTAATATTCAGCATGCACCGACACTTAGGCGCATCTGTGTGCACCAGCGTGCATGGTCACGTGCCTAGGAGCCAAACTGCCTATTTAGAGGGAACCCTGGTGTGTGCTAATCACTGGGTGTTCTTCAGCTCCACTTTTTCTGTGTTCCTGTATTCCTGCTCATGATGACTGATTTCCTGTTGCTGACCCAGCTTGTTCCAGACCTTGCTCTGTTGATTTTGGATACCGACCTCAGCTTTCCCCTGGCTACTCTATGCCTGCTTCCCTGGTGCGGAGTTCGATCTGCTACTGGACCTTGCTCTTCCTTCTTCGCTGGTACTTGCCTCGGCCTACTGCTGGACCTTGCTCTGCCCGTTTCCCTGGTACTGACCTGACCATGCTTCTGCCTCATCCTGTATGACCCTGGCTCATCATGATTATGTTTCTGACTATGGCAGTTATCTGCTACCATGGTACCTGCATCCATCCTCTCTTTGAGCCTTGTACTTCTGTCACCACATTCAGGTGTGCTCGAACCAGAGACTCAAGGGAAGCCCTCATCAACTCAACATCCAAGCAAGGTACATGAAAAAAGTATTCACAAACCCAGTCATGTTCTAAGTTCCATTTATTAGAACTGGTGGACTTGGTATTTCACTTGTCAGGAGAAGTGATCAGGACTTATTTGAGTAGACTGGTTTATTTTTCCATTATTTGCTTTTGGATCCAGTGGCAACATTATGGTGCTCCATGGTGATTTGTCCAAGCGTCCTAGCTTAGCAAATGAATAGTAGACATATGAATACACAGGAAAGCACATTCTACTATATTCTTGGTCCTTAAAGTTGAACATAACTTCCAAAAGATAGTTAGCTCCACTTTAACTCTCCCACCAGCAAAAGTCTGATTATTTATTTTTTTTCCCTTTCTTAGCCCTGCCCCCTGGCACACAGAGCACCCAGAAGATGCTGCCATCTAAAAGAGGACCAAGATGGTAGCATGGGCCCCACTGTTTGACATATGAACAGCAGGATCGCAGCAGGATAGCCCTGGATTCGCTCTGCGGTGAGTATATACATTGAAGAGCACTACAGGTAAGTGGGAAAAGAAAAACATGGGGGTGGGTGGGGGTAGTTTCGTACGGGACCAAAAACATCTACAATTTTCTGCCATCTGATTCATTTGCTATTTGTATATCAGTAAGGAGTACTGATATCCTGCAAATCGACATCAGTAAAATAAATCAGGGAAACTAAAAACCATTCAGGATAATACAATGATGTTCTTAGAGATGTGGTAGGATTCTTAACAACTACTTGTAATTCAGATTTCCCTGCCTGGCTGTACTAAAATAATGACCCATCCAAGGGTCAGTTATTATAGATGATGTATTTTTTACTTCTTTACTCATTTATTAATTCATTCATTCATCCAGTGTACAATTCCCATTTAATGAGAGTTGCTGTAAAACATAGGTCTTGCTGGCAGAATGTGTTTCTCATCAATAGAATTTTACAGTTTCCTGGCACACCTTAAACACTGAATACATGGAACATGGTAGCTTACAGTTGTCACAGGTTATGTACACACCACTATTGAATACCAGCTGGAATTTTTTTATTTTCTGTTGTACGAGAGCCTTTTATCTGCTACATGAGACATTGCTCACCAGACTGTAAAAGGTGATTCAATCAAATGTAACAATCTTGCCTGCTGAATGGATTGTTTGCAAAGCACATACTGATTGTGCTGGATAACATCAAACTGATGCTTCCAGGTACAGGAAATAATTATGTACGTGTGTGGTTGTTAGGAATGACATGGAATAAACAAACGTGATTTAAAATGATATAAAAACTCTACAGATATATTTTTATGAGAATGTTTGTCTTTAAAAGACACTTATTGCAAAAGAGCTTTCATAGGCAGCATTCACACTTTGTGTGCGTCCAGCCAGAATCAACGCAGGTAATCGCAGGCTGTACGAACAGTCATGAACAGATGCAGCCACAGTCAAGCCTGTCATTGCACTGTACAGAGTTGGAAACTGCAGCTATCCACAAACAGTGGTCAATCCCAGCCTCAGGAATCAACAGATTCTAGCTGCTGGATCCGCAACATTGCTAACACGTTTACAAATGCAGTCTTATACAATCACTATCTAATGCAGGCATATCAAACAGTGGACAAAATTGGGAGAACTAACTCATTAAAGAGTAACTCAACACTTCTTGAGCAAAAAAAAAAAAACAAAACAATCCCTTTTGGGTGATCAATGTACATCGCAGGGATTTTAACAAACAGCTCTTGTTGTGAAGAAATAGCTGTGTTTCACCAGAATGCTCACATGCTCATTCTGAATGGGAGTGTCTGGTTTATTAGAACTACCTGGTGCACTGTGTTACAATGAGGACAGCTGTAGGGTCTATATCCCTTTAGAAGGGATTAACACTTAGGGAGTATCTCGTTGAGACTCACACTTCTATTACAGAGGGTGTCTAAAATTTGATTTGTATCTTAGTGTAGACTTCTAGGGAAATCATTGAGCCAATCACACAAGCAAGAAATAATATTTTTGGAGGCATTTTTATACAAACTGTGTACAGAAGGCTTTCAGGTTGCCATATTTCACTGAATATTACAGTACTGCAAATTGAAACGGAAATTTAATTTTAATAACCTTAAACTATAACAGATCCAACCGGGACAGGGGCTTTTGGAGGGGACTGCAGGCTTGCGTCTTGCCTAATGACCATGGGCCAAGGCATCTGAGGGGGCTCTATTCCTTGGGAGGTGTGTGCCTAGGGGACCTTTTACTTAGGATTCAAATCCATGTGTCTCTGAAACACAGACTCTGAGAACTGGAGGACCAGGATACAGATTTGAGGTCTCTGTGCCCAAACCAGCATCGACTGCTTCAACCCCCCTCCTAAACTCAGAGACTCTAAGCAGATGTTAATATAATCAGCTCAAAACAACTTGCTATTGAAGTCTCTTGCTGTAATCTGTTTATAAAGGTGTGATGTGCTTATCATTTTGTATTTGTCCCATTGTTAATCGAGTCACCTATTGGTTCTGTCCTTTGGCTAGTCCTCCTGGAGGCTCCAACATGATGGCATTAGTCTGGTGTCAACTTTACCTCATTACCTACTCAGTGTGGGATGTTTATCCCAATGTGTAACATTTATTTTTATTGTTCATGTGGGGACTGCCCATATTTAAGAAGTGTATAAAAAGCTGTATTTCTGTTCAAATAAAGGGTTCCAATTGCACCTAAGCAAGTGTCGTGTAGTCTTTGGGTGCAATGCCTAGCTAGAATACCTTGGTCCTGTGTTCCAGCAGCGAGGAAGCAGTTCTCTGATGGAGACACTCAAGCAGGGTGCCAGATGGTCCATCACATAAAGGCAAAACTTTTTTTTAGTTTTGGACAGAGTGGAGAGGGATTAGAACACCTGTCAGTTTTTTTTTTTGCTGTCTTTTCCCCCATCACTCTCTCTATTTGTCCTGTTTACGGTTATCATTGAAAGTAAAAGAAAATTCCTAAATATCCGGTTGTCCCCAGAAAAGTGATAGAGGGGAAATCGTTCAATGGGGACACTAGCTCTGGTGACCTGGGGGTCCCCAAGGAATTCCCTTAATTTGCAGGAATTTCCTTTTACTGTCAGTGGCCATCACAATCTCCTGACCTTACTATCATCGAACCACTCTGAAGAGATCTCAAAACATGCAGTTCATGCAAGACAACAAAAGCTTTTTAAAATGATCTGGAGGCATTTTGCCAACACTAATTAACAGCTATATCACCTGCAAAAATTCGGGGCCTCATAGACAACTGTTACAAAAGACTGCACTCTGTCATTGATGCTAAAGGGGGCAATACACAGTATTAAGAACGAAGGGTATGCAGACTTTAGAACAGGTGTAATTTCATTTATTTACTTGTTGCCATATTTAGTTTTATGATTGTGCCATTCTGTTTTGACCTACAGCTGAGCAGGGTTCCTATAAGAATATGTGTTTTGCCTGCTCACTCCTGTTCTTTAAAAAAAAAAAAAATGTTATATAATGTACATTACCAGTTCTCCAAGGGTATGCAAACTTTTGAGCACAACTGAATGTTGTGTGCTTCACAGATTGTTTTTGTCTTTACTTAAGCAGTGGTATATTAGTTCACATTTCTGATCCTACCAGACAATAGGTGGTACTACTGGTTTTCTGATATCGAGACACTGGTCATTATAGTAAGAATTGCAACT